CACGCTCGCCTCGCCTACCGCCACGACGCCCAAGCGGTGCGCCATCGCGACGCCCACGACGCCAGGCCACTGCCGCCGGATCGACGCGCAAATCGCCAAGAGCTCCTTCTCGGCCATCGGCACATACCCTTCGTACTCGAGGTACTCGACGACCTTGCCTACTGCATCATCGATAATAGTCCGACGACGACAATGTACCGTTGAACGAGTCGCGGGTCGTGCCAATGAAGGTCGAGATCGCGCCTGCGCTCGCATGCTCGACGCGCCGGACAGCGTCGTCGGCGCTCAGCGGCGCCATGGTCACGACCACGTAGTCGGTCATCGCCCGTCAATTCGGATTGGCTCCTTGACTCTCAACGCCACGGCTTTTGAGCTCAATCGTCAATGTCGCCTAATTGACACCGCCCGAAAGTCCTGAAATCCTGGAACAAGTCGAGATATGCCTATATAGGATCGTAGCATTCCAAATGACTTCAACCCAGTCTGTTGTTGTTGAACTGAGTTTTCTCGTTATTTTACGGATTAAGGGTCCTATTTCTAGGGTCGTCCTACCTCCAACCTAATATACGGTAGGCACTTTCAACCCAGTCTGTCTTCAACCTGTCTTCAACCGCACCTCATTTTTGATGCACAGGTCGTCATAACTACAACCGACGAGCTTCCTCGACCCACTATTTCAAAGAGTGGATTGGCAAGCACGTATCCTTCAACACCCGTGACAAGTACTCCACAAAAAGTTAATACAGGTTGGTTCCTAAACCGCTGCGGCGGGGCCATGCAAGATGGCCCGTGGCTGCTCGTCGGGGGAGCCATGGGACCCGTACCGTGCGACGCCGTCCGACTCGTTGTTGTCTTCGTCCGGCATGGCCACGAGCGTCTGGTCTTCGCCGGATGAAATCGCATGTCCCGCCGTCGCACTGTCATTATTGTCATGACACGCGGACGGGCAAAAGCACCAGATACAGAGCCCGACGGGTACGAGCGGTAAACACGCGGCGAGAACGAAGGGTGACATGAGCGCGTACCCCGAGACGCAGAAGCAGCTCGCGAACGCCGACCGAGCAAACGCCTGGCCGCGGAGACAGCACGGAATGCAGCAGCAGCCGAGAACGCTAAAGGCCAGCGTGAGCGCGAGTGCCGGGGGGCCAAAGACGAGGCAGAGCAGGAGGCGCCACGAGAAGGAAACTATTTTGGAGAGCGTGCTCGGGCCTTCGACCGCGGTCTCTGACATTTGGGCGCCGGCGCAGCCACGTAAATTCCACCACTACGGGTCGCATGAATATCAATATATCAACTATCAACTGGCCGGAACCAGACAATATGGAAGAACAAGTACCTGAAAGTGCTCGGGGAAGACGCCGTCGTCGACCTTTTCGCCGCAAAGCCAGCAAAAGTGCACGCCGCACGTGACGCACTTCATCTGGTTGCAGCCGCCTACCCGAAAAATCATCATCCTCTCTGAAAAATCATGGAAATGCGACCAATATACCGTTTTTCTCGACCGGACTCTTGCAGCCCGGGCACGGCTTGGAGATCTGGCTGATCTTGGCCTGGTTCACCTTGTCTTCGGCGCGCATCTTGGCCTCGTACTCGAGGCACGTCGAGTGCGGGTGCGCGTTCGAGTGCGTGTAGCAAAACGCCTCGCCACACTGCGTGCAGTCCATGTGCGGGTCGTCCGGTCCGTTGCCGACCTGCAGCACATGGCAGTGCGGGCACTCGCGCGCATCCGCGTGGGCCTTGATGAAGTTGAATTTCTCGTATTTCTCAAACACGTCGGTGGACACGAGCGCCTGGATGTCGCTCGGCGGAATGAGCGCCTCGCACGGCCGGCCGTCGCCGTCGGCGAAGAAGCACTTAGGCGCGACAAGCCCGTCCGAGATCTTGCTGGCGAGGTACCCGTGAATGCAGTCGGCGCAGAAGCGGTGCCCGCACACGGAGAGCGCGACCGTCGAGGCCACGTCGACGTACTCGAGGCAGATCTGGCAGTAGCTCGTCTCTGCCATACCGAGCCCGAGCATCGTGCTCATGGACCGCAGAAAACTCAGCGAGTTGCGCT